GAGAGAGAGAGAGAGAGAAAATAAATTAATAAAATTAACAAAATGAATAGTATATACATATATGCGTACATACATACGTGTACACATATACGTATATATATACACACATAGTTACGTGAATAATAAGTACAAGAAATGAAAAAAAAAAATACGTCAGAGTTATCAAACGTGTTATTCAGTGTATTTGTTGCCGCGTGCCTCTCGAGTCTGTTCTTCGCCCCTAAAGGAGGCAGTGTGCGTAATCGTCTATTTAAAAAGGAAAATTAAAAAATGAAAAGTAACAAAAAAATATATATATACAAAAAGAAAATGAAGAAATATGTATAAAGCGAAAATTAAAAGAAAAGAATTAGAAGATAAATAGAAAAAAAAGAAAGAAACGCGGTAAGCATAATATGGAGGAAGAAGAAAGAAAAGAAGAAAATATGGAGAAAAAATAAAATTCATGAAATAAAAAGAATAAAAGAATTAAAAAAAAATAATAATAAAACGAAGAAAGGCTAACCGCCCTCAGATGTATCGTGCTATTTTAATTACAGCAGTAACATACCAGACATGGTCCATACGACCGCCGAGAAGCGTCCTTTTTGTCTGCCTGATGCCACGTACATGTGCGTATACGTGAATTTTTTTCGGAAGAAAGTCTAGCCACGTGAAAATATTCGATCGAATCTCGAGAAAAAAATAAAAGAAAGGAAAGGAGGAAAAGAGAAGAGAAAAAGAAAGAATGAGAGGAAGAGAAAGAGAGAGTGAGAAAGAAGAAGAAAAAGGATGAATGTGTGTGTGAATGTGAGAAAGAATGAAGGAACATGACGATAGAAGCGTAGAACAAGACTAAATATGTACAAATGTAATAAATTGAATGACGATTACGTTGAATTGACTCGATGACTTTTTATTTATTCTACTTATATTTTTCCTTCTATATCTTTTGGTGAGTTGTTTATTGGATTCAGGAATAAAAACTGTAATGAAATTTATTTATTTTAAATTAGCATCATTAACATACTTGTAAATAGGATATTCAATTTTTTAAGTATTATATTAATTGTTAATTTATTTGTATACAAATCAGAAAATAATTGTACAAATTGAAATGAACTATAATTTAATAACACTTTATTTTCTTTGCACTATTGATGCTTATATAATAATAAAAGTTGTAATTATTAAATTATTAAATTTTCTAGTGATTTTATTGATAATCTTATTAAAAATATTTTCTTTTATTTATATTATATTATCTTATATTGTCTTTTATTTTAAAAGATAACACTTTCAAATAATGAACTATATCAACTATTTTATTTTTTTCATTCCAGAAATAATATAAGAAATAACTTCATTTTATATTAAGATCGAATGATCTCCAATTTTCTATTTCTCACTTAAGTTAATTTATTTGAATAATATTCTCACTATTATATACTTGTGTTGTATATCTTTATAATGTTGATATAATAAATCGGAAAATATTTCAAATATTATTTTAGAAAACATTTATTTAAATATAAGATATCGAATAAAGTACAAAATTATTTTAATTACATAATATTTAAATTAAATGATTAAATAATTATTTATTTATTCAAATAATATCTGTTATTTATATAATCATTGTTTCAATATTCTATTAATTTTAATATTCTTTAGATAATATTGAAATGTATGTTGTAATGCGTACGATATATGTATGATATCAAAATTAAATTCAAAATCAATTTCAATTAAATCTGTACCAACAGCATTAAGATTCAATATTTAAAAGTAGTTAATAATTTATCGTATTCAAATGTGAAGAAATAATGATTCTAATAATTTAAATTATTTTATAATTTTGTATTGTTCATCTCAATTTTTATTTTTTTTATTATTCATCTTCAATTATTATCAAAATTATTTAAATTATTTTGAAAAATTTAAATTTTTAAAGATATATTTTGCTAATTAAAATTTAGATTTATTTAATTTGTAATACGTTGCATTCTTAATTTATAACACAAAACAATTTTTTATCTGTAATAAAATAGAAATTTTCGTCTTTTATTTTCATTTATTAATTTTTTGTATTAATTATGAGATAAAATGTTTGAAAATTAAAGCATTTGTTTGAAAAAATTGATATGTATTTAATAAAATTTGGTTTTAAATATCAATTTTTACTTTATTTTTAAATATCATCTTATTTAAAAGATTATTTAATAATTCTTAAAATTTTTTATATTGTATAGATAAATTATAAAAACAATTTTTTTTTGAGAGAAAATTTACGAGCAGTCAAATCAACAACTTCGTTTTACCTTGATTACTCTTTCTTTCCTAATAATTATCCTAGCAATTTTCCACAAATTATAAAAAGCAATCCTGTAATTCCATAAATATCTCTTAAATATTTCATTCGATTCTGCCAAGATGTCTTCAATTCCAGAATTTCGCATCTTTTTCTATCTTGCTTCTGACATTAATGTTATAATTAATTTCAATCATATGATTTATTCTAGAATGCAATATCTTTATTTAGTTGATTATTATATAATTATATAGTTTATTATTTTCAAATGTAAGAAAATTAGATTTAAATTGCCCATACATTAGATTTAAATTGTTTTCATTCTTCAATGAAGAATAGTTGTTCATTTTTATTGTTAGTATTTTGCGAATACTGATGACAGAAAATAAGATCTTTTTCTCAGTTTACAGCTACGTATAGATGACTGAATTATAAAATTATCTGTCATTGTTCGTAACAATATTAAAAAAGAAGAAATAAGAGAAACAATTATGTGTAACTATTAAATAATTTGTATAATTAAAAAAAATATATGCATGTTTGTTATATTGGAATTATAATTATTTTTACTATTATTTTCTTTTAATTATTCTTTAATTATATTCTTTAAATTGTTTAAACTATTTTATTTAAATTAATTATAAATTTATAACAAATTGATATTAAAAAAAATAACAATCTGAGAATTATATTTCTTTATTTACTATATAATAAAGTATATAATATCTTACATACGAAAAATCTTATTTAAATCAATATTATAATATTAATTACACTAAGTTGACAAAGTCAATCTTATAATATAATTCTCAACTATCCTGTCCCTTTGATCGCGAAATGTATGCAAAAATTTCTACTTTTGCATACATAATTATTAAATAATTATTTAAGAGAAAATTATCCACTATCTTTGCTTAAGGTACCATGAATTCTTATTCTGTAGATGCAGGTGTATTCATTGTTACCACTATTGGAATGAACTTTTAATTCAATTATTTCATATGCAATCTTCGATGTATGCTATAAATTATAATAATACTATAAATAATGATATATTTTTTATAATATAATGATATTATATTAAAAAATTCAAAAAATATTATTTTACCTCAACTTCAAAATATTGTACAGGAGGACCAGTATTATCATACATGAATTCACCAAATAAGAAAGGGTTTGTATCATCTATGTTCTTTAAGCCCTAAAAATACAAAACATACTATCTAATAATAAAAATAACAAATTTTACTAATTATTTTATTTTATTTGAAAATATTTTCATAAATTTTCATAAATTTATAATGAATAGAGATTTAAATTATTCTTTAAAAATTACTTTATTAATTTTATGAATTATATCATTATTCATTATATCTATTAATATAAAATTATTGTATAAATATTATAAATTTGTATT